TAAGAAAATGGTTATTTTTTATATAGGAAATACAAGTATAGGATACATTACTAAGAGGAGCTTTAATAATAAGAGTATCAAATGTAACAGTGACTAATCCTTGATATGTACAAGTTCATCTTTGCTTAACTGAGAACAAGAGAACTTGACCAAAGAAACAATTAGCTACTTTTTTTAGTCCCTGTACAAATTCTTGTGAAAAATAAAAGATTTGTGAAAGTAAAAAGACATGTCCTTACACTATTAAGATATTTATAGGAAATGTGACTGTTTACAAAATACAAATTGAGGGGGCACCTGGGTGGCTCAGTCGGTTGAGTGTCTGACCAGCTCAGGTCATGATCTCGTGGTTCATGAGTTATGGGGCTCACTGCTGTTGGTCTTTCAACCAGAGCTCAGTTCGCATCATCTGTACTCCCCTCTTTCTTCCTTCCCTTACTTGCACTCTCTCTCCCAAAAAAATAAACAAAAAATTTAAAGAAATACAAATTGAGTAAAACCCAGGGGATATGCAAACATTTTCATGAAGCAATTCTAATAAATTCATCTTTCCGTGAGTGAGGATTGGTTTGAAAAATTTAACAAGACCTCCCCTCACTACAGTATGGAGCTAACAGGAGTGGCCAATTCGAGTTGCCTATTTTCCCAGGAAGTACTTTCTTGGCCTTTGAAGATACACCTAGAGGAGAAGGCTGAATGGACCACGCATCTCCTTCTATGCCTTTGTGAGCATATACATCTAAAGGAGGGAAGTGGGCCTCAGTGTTTAAGGTGGTTAAAGATATTACCCTTGTCTTAAGAGAAACTTGGCTTCTTTTCAAAGATAGAGAACCCTGAAGCTGTTCTGTATTAATTTTCTATTGCTGCATAACAAATTAACACCAATTTAGAACCTAAAACAATGTACATTTCCAAGGGTCAGGAGTCTAGACACTCCAATGTGGCTTTTTTTCCAGTGTTTCACAAGGCCATAATCAAGGTCTCAACTGGGGATGCATTTCTTCCTAGAACTTAGATCCTCTTACAAGCTCATGTAGTTGTTGGCAGAATTCAATTCCCTATAGTTGTAGTAATGAGGTCCCCATCATCTTGCTGGCCTTCATGCAGGGATTTCTCTCAGTTCCTATAGGCTTCTTGCAGTTCCTCTCACAATAAGGCTGAGTAATGACTGCTTCAAGACCAGCAGGAGAATGTCTCTGACCTCTAGACCATTAGTGTAGACCCTGACTAGGTCAGCCCCATCCAGGATATGGTCTTTTTTGATTAATTCAGTGTCAACTGGTCAGGCATCTTAATTACTGATGCAAAATCCCTTCAGCTTCACCTTATAAGGAAGATACCCCCATTATATTCACAGATCCTATTCACACACAGGGTCAGAATTATACCAGGGCCTAGATCATTGGGTTATTTTAGCATTCTGCCTACCATACTTGTTTATTTTCTCACTGTGTTTCTCAGGGTCAGGAGGTAGGGGCAAGATCTTTGCTCTCAGCTGCTTTCAGATTATCAATCTCCTACCCTCATGAAAAATAATAACAATAAATATAATTAATAAAACACTGAGACTTTGAAACCTGTGCCATTTGGTGTTTGTTGTCTCTCATTTTACTGCCATCTTTTATACTCCTGGTGTCTCCTGCTCCTTCATAGAGATATTGGATGCCAAAGATTTCGGCACTTGACTCACAGCCTTCCATTTTGTTCCATGCCCAACTGTTACTCTGAATGACTTCAGTTTCTGTGCCCATCACATAGAGATATGTCAGAAAGAAAACATAATAAGGAACATATGTATTAGCCCTTTGATTCCTTATTAGAATTTTAGTAATATCAGAAAGACTATAAAAACTTTGGGGATGCCTGCATGGCTCAGTCACTTGAGCGTCTGACTTTTGATTTCAACTCAGGTGATGGTTCAAGCACCATATCAGGCTCTGCACGAACAGCATGGAGCCTACTTGGGATTGTTTCTCCTTCTTCCTCTGCTCCTCCCCCATCTTAAAAATTAATAAACATTTTTTTTAACTTAAAAAAACATACTTTGCTGTTTATTTTGTATTTTATGTATTTGTTTTTTGTTCCTGTAGATACTTCGAAAAGTTTTGATCATTGTTGTTTTATTTAATGCCAGTCTGCCTTATATATAAGGGGTAAAGGATAAGGATCAGGAGTCACATTTGAGGCAGAATGTTAGAGCCTGAGCAGCTCATCTCTGGGCCCTGGGCTTGGTATTGATTCTTGTCATCAGAGAGAGGAAGGCGAAACAGGGAGGCTGCCCTGATTCTGACTGGTGAACTATCTGGAGCTACTGAAGTGGTTAGAACAGTCTGTTTTATTTTAACAAAGTGAGTGCATTCCCTGTGTACTTTGGTTGCCAAGTACCGATCATATTCTGTTGTTGGTAAGGCTCTGAGACCATGGTAACTTGAGTAGGAACTTTGTTAGAACCCATTCCTCCCTCCCTTCCTCCCTCCCTCCCTCCCTCTTTCTTTCTTTCTCTCTCTCTCTCTTTCTTTCTTTCTTTCTTTCTTTCTTTCTTTCTTTCTTTCTTTCTTTCT